AAAGTCTGATACCGTATATCTGGGTTTTTTTGTTTGTTTGTTTGTTTTTTTTTTCCGATGATCTATTTTTCGAATTTTTTGCGATCATTTTTAATTCGCCAAAAATGAAACACGCAAAAATTATGTCAGTTATTATGTGCAATAAAAGCATTACCATTTTTAAATTTTTTTAATAGTAAAAAATAACTTACGAAAAATAGAAACTTCACAAATCTACCCTTTTTTCGCAAAATTTCAAACACGCGAAAAAAAACGGATATACGGACATACAGTATTCAGTGATATAAAGTTTACGCAAAAGGATCTTGCGGAAAGTAATACAAATTTTACTGATCGGACATGTAACGAGTTTTAATGTGATGATCGTCAAATCATGTTATAATATTACATGTATATAACAGAATAATTCCCAAATCTCTTACGGTAACTCCAACATTCTATAAATTGTGTTCACCTGCAAGTTTATTGTACCCCAAACAGCACCTATGAAAATGGGAAGGGTCAATAAGTACATGTATGGTTTTGTTCGAATAGTCAGTTATATAATATTGTAAATACCAAAGAAAAACAAGACACACTTTGAAAATAATATGGAAATTCATGTTTTCATGTTTGAAAAATAGTATTCACCACGGACAAATATGAAACCTGATATTATCGGTAGCTGTACATCAGTTTGGAAACAAGTATTTATTTGCTTTCAACATCTTCAATTTACGTAGAAAAGATATTCTGAACTATGATAATTAATGGTTTATCAAAAGTGTTGTAACATTTAGGATTTTTCAGAATACGTGTTTTATATCGCATATTTAGCATATATGAAAGGTCTTGGGTAGACAAGAACATGATATATCACACATATTCCTCCACTTCAACAACATCGACCGGTCGCCGTAGCCTAGTTCAAGGGCGTCCGCTTAGTGATCGGAAAGTCAGGGTTCGATTCTCATTCGACCCGCCGCGTCAAACCTTCGTCAAGTGCCCAGTGTTAGAAGTGAAATCACGGGTCTTTCGGGGGAGACTTTAAAAACCGAGGTCCCGTGTCACGGTAGGCATTTTCACGATAAAAGAACCCTCACTACTCAATGACCCTGGGTGCCGAGTACAGAAGTCCATCACCGGTATATGGTGACGTCTCTATATGAGCTAAAATTCTCGAAAGAGACGTAAAACAATCAATCCAACAACAACGACTTAACTGATGGATAACAGAGTCAAAAATATTGCATATTTGTAGGCATGGTTAAGAGATTGGATCAGATGCAACGAATTCTACAGGAATGCCCTCAAAACGTGGACCGCCATTCCTGTTACCAACACCTTATGTCTTTTTGGATCCGCTACTTTCTACAGAGATCCTCCAGAGAGAGATATGAATCGGGATAATTATTGACGATCTTGATTCCTTTTTTCAGCCAAAATATGTAATTAAAAAATCAAACGAGCTGACAATCATGATGTGTTGTTGTGGTGTGCAGTAATTGTTTGAATTGATTGAACTATCAAGGAATTAAAATTTGTTTCCTGAATCTCAATTCTATTTAATTATTAATTTGAACATTTGAAGAGTTGATTAGAATGAATTGAGAATTAATATCTGTTGTTGACGTGAATTTTGATTGTTTGATGTTAATGTCGCGTAAAAGTTGTTCATAAATGTAGAAATATGTAGTGCAGGTTATAATTTGTTCAATTCATGGTCGTAGGGTGTTGGATGGAGCCAAAACAGAGGATTAAACTTTTTTCAGGGAAAAAAGTTTTAAAAATCTTCTTTTCAAGAGCAACAGGGCCATGAATATTCATATACTGATATGCAAACTCCAAGATGGTACATATTTAAGTTGTAATTTCAAATGAAGGCCCTCGGAAGAAAAATCAGGAGGGGTTAAAAATTTTAATATGTGTAAAAAAGAATCTTTAATGATCTTTTTTTTTTTCAGGAACAATAAGACCATGTTTATCGAAGCATACCCTGATAATGATACAATATTCTTCAAATCATGACCCTCGGGGTAAGAGTAGTTTCACAACAGGGAATCAAACAAAAGAAGAATATATTTACGTTTTCTTTCTACTGAAGGCCTTTTGGTGAAAAATGGCATATACGTATGATAAACTGTAAGAATTAATCAAAGGAAGAAATATTCTACAAATATTTTATTTCTTCTTTTCAGTGGTATATTTATGTGTCAATAGTAGTTTGATAGAATTTCGGTCAAAAATACGAAGATCTTAAAAATTTTCAAGCACGGTCTAGAAATCTGATAAAGACGACAAAATGAATTTTGACGTCAAATGGGGGCAGCAAACATTCCTTATATTTTGTGTAGCGCTGTGGAGAACTCTTGTTCGGACTGAACGACCTAGTTGCAAAAACTGTAAGAATGCGAAAAACGTGTCTAAGGTTGTTTTTTTTTTTTCATTGGTATATTTTTCTTACAAATAATTCAACTAGAGAAAAAACAAAGGCTCCAGACGACCATCAATTATTACTAAATAACGTTTACCCACGGAGCAAAAAATTAGTACTGCGTGATGTTGTCAACCTTTATAACATTTTTCATGTAATTTTACATTGGGGTAACAACTAACAACTACACACATTTAATTTTATTTTTTAAAGAATCGTTTAAGAAAAGAGAGTTTGATATAGAATGTTATATGTGATGACAGAGAAAGAAGAGTTAACGCTTCCCGATCTACATGCGAAAAAAATCTACGGCTGGCGTGACTTTAAATTGACGTTGCGATGCAGTTCCAGGTCAATACACAAGTTTTAATTTTACTGGGACTTATCTAATTACCCTATTAGCTAGAAAATTTGCACTTTTGTTTTATTTGATCTTGGTAAACTGTTGACGAATTTTCGTGAATTTATCTCTTTCCTTTATGGAATAAAAGTAAATGTTCGCAATAACATCCGAATGGCCTTCGTATGTATAATGTGAGTGAAATAGCCTTCCAATGAATTAAATATAAAAAGTTGACTGAAAGAAAGGATTGAATTGGATTGCATGTATATATGTACATATTTAATAAATTTACTCATAGAAATAAAGTTGATATAACTGTATTTTATCACATGCGAATAGGTAGATACATGTATTTGCACCGGAAAACATCTATAGCAATTACTGCTACATTTGAATTCTAAATATACATGTTATGGTTTCAATCAAATTTGATTAAAATTTACCCAAACAACATCACGTAAATTTCCTGTCATCACAAGGTCCAAAAATAGTGTGACAGACTGACATTTGATTTTTCGATGCGTCAGTTTGTGCTACGCCTGTACCAAAACCAATGATTCAACTAATACTACACACAAATTCGTTATGGCCAGGGTAGTGTTAAAGACACTGACATTAGTTTCAGCATTCATTAGAATTTCAAGTTCCATTTCTTCCACGATATGTCCTACACAATGCCAATGTAGGAATTCCAAGGTGAAATGTCATCGTTTGCTAAAAATTCCTCGGATATTTCCAGAAAACACAACAAAAATTGCGATTGATCAGGCATTTCTAGAAGAAATTCCAAACAGTGTATTTTCTGGATTGTCGGCATTGGTCGAAATTAAATTTACAGAATGTAAGATTTCTGTGATTTCCCAAGAGGCTTTTCCAGAAATACCATCTCTTCGAACCATACAGTTTGAAAGATGTGATATTACCGATATACGGAGTAAAGCATTTTTCAATACGGGCTGGAGACTAAGGATTCGATTTAGAAATTCCAAAATTACTCGCTTACATTCTCTTGCCTTTTATAACCTTCAAGGGTCGAATTCAATACATTGGAGAAAGACTAGAATCTTGAATCTTATTTCCAATGCATTTTTCAATATCACAAAGATGGAAAAAATGAGTTTTATCGGCTGTGCTATGACAATTGACCAACTGGCATTCAATGAAATCTATGATTTACGTGAACTTATCATTAAAAACACGTACTTTAACACAATCGCTTGTAACGGCATAACAGAAATTCTATCAGCTGGTAACGTTGTCGTTTCTGGAAACAAAATGAATTGCGATTGTGGAATACAGTGGATGAGAAACACTGGAGGATATGAATGGTTTCTGAATACGACGATATGTTCAAAACCTGAAAGTTACTTCAACTCCACAATGGCGGAAGTCTTATCAGTTGACAGATTCTGGTGTTCAACAGAAAATAGAAACAGCAAAACTAACTGTGGACAGATAAGAAAATCAAGTTCTCTTTTAAACTCGGCATCTACAGACACTTTACTGTCTAATTCTATTGTATTGTTGCACACATGCTTGTTTTTTAATATGATTATTTAAAATTTCATAAGAAACATGCAACAGCATCAAATTTTGAAATACTAGTAATATTTTTTTTACATTATACCGTCTGTTTCATATATTGTTTACTGCATGATATTTATTTTTATTCTCTTTATTTAAAATCGCATGAGAAACATGAAATAGCGACAAATCAATCGTATGCAATGATAGTGATGTATTTTTTTAATCACAAAAATGTTAGGTCTGATGTAAAGAAACTCATAGTCAACTTTGTTAAAAATAAAGTGAAAACACTGTTAACCGATATACTGGGTAAATTGTTAAAATTCTGACAAAAAGGAAATTTCGAAATTAAGTTTTTTTTCTAAATAATAAAGTAAATGGAATAATTATTTTTTGTTCCAAATTCCTGATATATTCATGTTTTTACACTGCTTTCATGACTTCGTGTACAACAGCTGAACAAAAAAGCATTATATTTCACTTTTCCTTCTGCAAATATTTAAAGATACGTTAGTCATGCCAAGTAAAACCATTTATCAACATAAGTGTTATTTTTTTATTGAAAGTACACGTATAACGTCTGATCATATATGAAACATCTTCATTTTCTAAAACATAAATGACTTCTGAAAGAAATTACAACTGATGATCTCTACATGCCACCATGATGATCTCTACATGCCACCATGCTAGATTCATACATCAGTTATTTGGGATTCAGTCTTTCGCGATTGCTTTCTTATAGATACAGACCTAAGAATCGAAATCAGTACAAAAACAAATAAAATCAAAATAACTGAAGGAAGGAATGCCGAAATAAAAATGACAGCAATTGATACCCAGTTAAAGGACTGTTGTTTGTCCACTGAAATCAGGGGTGTACTTGTGACGTTGACATTGATTCTTCTTGTGTCATTTTCACATTCTAAATCACTCATTGCCGTTTCAAAGTTTATATCTCCGTTTTCATAAAAATTGCTGCATTTTAGATTATAACGATGACTCGAATGACCCAGGACTGAATCTGCAGTAGAGTTCAATTTCAACCATTCCCAAAACCATTGCATGGTACAGTTACATTCTATTTGATTGAGGGAGAGATCGATTACTTTTAACGATCTCAAATTTTTGAAGACACGTTCATCAATTTTACTGAGTCGATTGCTCTTCAAGTTCAGAATTTCTAGAGAATCCTCTAGACCAGAAAAAGTTTCTGGAAACAGTTCATAAATATAATTATTTTGTAATGATATGTGAGTTAATTTTGTCTGACGGAACCCTCCCGGCATCAGCATGGACAACCCTGAATGAGCAGCATGTAGATGTTTTAGAACCGGCACTCTTTGTAGGAATTGCCAAAAATTGGAGTCTATCAATCTTGTGTGAGAGAGATTAATCTTCTTGATATTAAGTTTTATGCTGTTGTCGTGAGCGTTCGTAAAATCCGTGGGTTTTCTGTCCGTTGCTTGGCGTTGCAAATCAAGTACATTCAGAGATCTAGTCCAGGTAAACGCTTTGATATCTACGGAATGTAAAGAATTCCGACTCAGATCGAGTTTTTGTAGGTTATGAAGATGTTGAAAATTTGACGCACTGATACTTGTTAAACCATTGGAAGATAAATCTAAATGTATCAGCTTTTCCATTTTCTTAAAAATAGCTTCCTCGAGATGGTTTATATTATTATCTGAAAGATTCAGATGTTGTAGTGCTATCCACTGTGTCCTCGAGAACTCTTCCAATATGGAAACTGCAGTAAGTTTGTTTCTGGAAAGATTTAGTTGCCTTATGTGCTCCGTAACTCCAGAGAAACTATGTGTTTCTATTTTGTTGAGTTCGTTTTTCGAAATATCTAGTTCTAATAGATGAGCAAGATCTCGGAACGCATGCGCAGGTATAACAGTCATCTCATTTCCGGTCCAAACCAGTTTTTGAACGTAAAACAAATTTTTCATCGCACCGACAGGAAACGTGCTTACTTTCGGATTGTCGCGAAACTGGAACTCTGTTAATCTGTTAGCGTTGCTATCAAATGTGTAGGACGAAAAGAAAGTGGTTCCCATATTGATAAGTGATAGATGTCTTAAGTTTGGAAGTAGGTGAAATGAAACAGAATTGTCCATGTAATGAAGAGCAAAGTTCACCAAGATAACCGTCCGCAAGGATTTGAGGTTGTGAAGGGAGTGAAATGGAATAGCCGTTTTCCCGTCACCTTGTAAGTGAATGTATATAAGATCGAACTTAAGGCCGGAAAATGCACGTGGATGAACATTTTGGATTTTATTGTTCCTCATATCTAGTCGCTTTGTCCGCAGTCCTCGTAAATCTCTTTCGGATATTTCTGATAAATTAGAATCTCTAAAAGTAATTTCATAGAACAGTTCGTTTGTAGTAAGTGCATGTGGAGTGTGTAAAATATTCGGAATATTTCTGCAGTCTAGAATTCTCAATGATGGTTCTTGAAAAGCAGGGTAACAGAGGCAATTCTGGATAGGACATGGGCGGGCGATGCATTTCACTTGGACAACAAAAACAAAGAAGAACACCTATGAATTTTAAAAAGAATGAATAAAAATTACAATATACTGCAAGATTGAATAGATGTCAATGTACAGGCCATATTTCTAAATCATTGATCAAAATATTGCATAATTAAGAATGTATAATAATGGTTTCTTTTAAATTGATAAAATGAGAATATGGTAATTGCTGTATATACATGTACAAGTGCACAAGTAATCATTCCTTCCTCACGAAGAAAACTTTTTTAATTAGGAAATTCTAAACAAGAAAAATTAATGTGGAAATAATTTTGTGCAATTAAAGGAATCTGTTGAACATATATTTGCTTCTTAAACCCCCTTGTTTAAGGAGGAACTCCATCCCCTTTCCAAGAGAGATAACTCACAAATTACTTTTAAAATTGCTTACTTTGTAACATTTAAATATTCAGAAATAGTTTACCTCTAATAAATGTATGTCTAATTTGCCAGAATTTCATTTTAATTCCCATCCCTATATGTCACCTTCATTTAGGAATAATAAAAAAAAAATTAGAGAGCAAACTATTAAGGGTCCTTTCCTTCTAAAGATCTAGTTGTGAACACGTTATTTGAAGTAAAAGGGATCACATTATTTTTTTCAAATCGATAAATTAACAAAACCGAAAAAAGAATTAAAAGAAGTATTTTACTTTTCAACTAAGAAGATACTATTTCAAACGATACCAAATGAATGTTCACTTGTTTTGAAAGAAAAAATTTCACACTTAGGTTTCATAACTTTCAAAGCAGTCAGATTGAATACTTTCAACTTGAAACAGACACGATTTTTCAAAGAGTCCACACCGTTACGGTAGCCCATTCGGTAGAGCGCTCGCTCCGTGATCGGAAGGTCGTGGGTTCGAGTCCCGGCCGCGACTGGCCTAAGTTGATAAAAAAAAAAGGTAGCAACTGTTCCTTCACCAACCGCTCAGCACTTTGAAGTGAAAGTTGCGGGTCCTTCGGATGAGATCTTTAAAAACCGAGGCCCCGTTTCACGGCAGGCATTGGCATGATAAAGATCCCTCACTGCTCAATGGTCCTGAGTGCCGAGTATTATATATAAAAGGTCTAAATTTGAAGCCCTTCACCGGTATATGATGCCGTCTCTATATAATTCAATTTAATTCAATTTACTTATTGACAACACCATCATACATTGGCATATAGTCATAAATACAATAAACAATAACATACATAAAATCAATAAAATTATTCCAGTAAGCATATCAGTTATGTTGAAGTTTTTTCTTTTCTAATATTAAAGCATTTTTTCAGAAAGTTACATACTCTTCTAGCAATTTTAATACTTGGAGGGTTGATAATGTCAATAATAGGGTTTTCCTTAAGTGAATGGGACGTAAAACAACAGACAATCAATCAATCCATCTAAGAGTCCACAGAAATATAATCTTCTCAAGTGCCGTTGCTTTCAAGCGTGAGAGGGAGTTGTCGTTATTTCTAGAATTTATCCGAGTTTGATTCCAAACGTGCACTACATCATTCATTACATTATTGACGGCAAGCAACGGAAAATCACGAATAATGATGAATCCATTTCCGAAGAGGCGGTCAAAATTCACGTCGACTTTGAATTTGCTGCAGTGTCAATATAGTGGCTGAGCTTAAAGGTTCTTATTCAAGCAGAAAGTTTGGAAAGAAATGAACTACTGATTAAACCTGGTTTAAAAGCCCCGATTTTTGCGTTTTAGAGATACACTGTTTGCATGTAAATTAAATGCAAAAAGCAATGACCTTGGTACCGTGGGACAGACTATAATTAAGCAAAACTTTCCTCCCCGTTTCTAAATCCGCAACTCCAGTCCAGCATTCTTGCTTTTTATGAAAATATACATGTAGTATTATAGCAATTTTTTAAATAGCAAGAAAAATAGCAAAAAAATATATTACTTAAAAATGTTACATCATGTGTAAGTGATATGTTACAGCATTGTCTTTTTAGGGACTAAAATTCAAGCAAATCTTACCTTTGAAAACATGGCAAAGCTTGAGGTTGTCAAATTTTAGATCATTCGACAATTAGTCGGAATTGTATATTTATGTATGTACAAGGTACGATTTCTATTTCAAATTGTTGTTTGACTAGCGGCATGTCATAAAAATGTAAGCAGTTAATAAAATATTCTCAGTTAACATTTTACATTGGTATTACGTTTACAAACAATTAAATTGTATTGGTCAGTGATTTTAGATTCAAGCAATTCTAGATTTAGAATATTAATTACTGTGGTAATTACCCTGTTAACTGATTTGTATCTGAAGAGTCATAAAACTTATACATGTTTGAAGTTGTTATTATTAATATTGTGTTTAAAATTTCTCCAGTCAAGCATGATTTATATTTGTTAGGAGCTATTTTATACAACACTATACATATACAATTATTGCTGTTTTTAAGATTTAGCCACCCGAGGAGTAGAATATTCATCGAGCCCGAATTGCGAGGTAAATATTGTACTTCGTGGTTGGCTAAATATATATTATTATAACAGTAACTTGATCCGAAGAGCCGTATCACGTCAAGTTGACAGGCGCGGATCATCAGATCAAACGAGACGCGAAGCGTCGAGTTTGATCTGATGATCCGCGCCTGTCAACGAGACGTGATACGGCTCTTCGGATCAAGTTACTGTTATAATGATAAATTTATTATATACCCCTTTACAACTAGCAAAATATATTAAAAGAAAACTTTTTGGATCAATTACATAACTTTTATCCATTAAACAAACCATTTTGTCAAGGAACTTTTTGATGCGCCAGAATAAAAACGTCATTTATCTGTGTACTACGTCATCAGTTTCAGAGAGGGGTGATATGGACTCAGAAAACCACAGTGTGGTGATCCGGAACGTCGGATCACACCGTCACGTGATTGCATAAATTCAACAGTACAGTTAGGTATATAATAAATCATCGTATTGACTGAAAAATATCAATTATTGTTTTATTATATGATCCAATGATTAAATGATATAAACTCGATAATAAAACTTGCCATCTTTCTTGATTGTTTATATTTGTTGAAGTTCTTGCCGAATGAAGTGAGAGAACCAAGATAAGATAAAAATATAACCAGTTAAAATGAAATTGGAATTTCTTTACCTTTTTTTGATTTGATATAGAAAAAATGGATGTTATGTTCACCTGCATGAATGTCAAATGAAATAACTTTTCATAAACAGGAATTCTCGATCTAATTTTGGTTCAATGTAGAAAAAATAAATGTTATGTTCATCTGGAAGGTCAGGCCGGACGAAATAACTTTTCCCTCCCAATTTATCATTCTGGAAGTTCTCGATCTATATTAGACCAATGTAGAAAAAATAAATACTGATGATTACCTGGAAGGTCACGTGCGGGTGAACATAACATAGTACGATTTCTAGCTTGTTGGATCTTATTCGATCATAGAGCTGAGAATTATCCAATCATATAATGATGCAAATTCATTTAGTGTAATATAACACAATTCCTGATATAGTTCTCTTTTCAACCTTTATTTTAGTAAATATACAATTGTTTATATCTTTTATTTGAACAACAAATTACACATGCATGATTTCACTTTTTGAAAATAAGTTATCCGATTTATTTTTCAGAAATTCGATATCATCTTATTTTAGCGGCTTCTTTTCGCAAACCAAATACAGGATTGATTCCTTTTTTTAATTATCTAATTTTTATTCATTCTACATATTTTTCTATCTTGAGATATCACCATAAAGAATCAAACGGCCTTTAATTAAACCATCCAAAAGTTGAGACGTCAATGTACAAGGGTCATTCAAAAATATGTAGACAAATGCAATGTCTTTCATCAATGTAAAAACATTCATTTTGTCGATTTTTGATCAAATGGAACTCACGATACTTAAAATCAGTATGTTTTGTACTCACAGAGCACACTTTACAATATTGTAAATAAATGTAAAAAACATTACGTCATGACATTTTCTCAAAAATACTCCCCTCTATATTTCGAACTGGTTTTCGGCGCAACATGTCACTTAATCGTTATTAAAACATCTCTATACCAGTTGACAGATACTATGCTAATAATTGTTTAAGTAGCATACGTTAGTATGTCGGTGTTTCAATATTTATACCGCGTAACTCCGCTGTCATAAGTTGCAATTGCGCGGTAGTGCAGCGTCCAATAGTTTCCCTGACGTCATTAACTCCTTGACCAGATTTTGACTGATAATCGGTTTCCTCTCAGGCTGTCAATCGTCCGATACAGGATTTCTTCCAATCAAAATCTTTCTTTCAAATGCGCGCCTCGCCTCTGATAAATTTCCTCCTTCCTCAAGTATTTTGGAGTTTCCGGAGTGCAACACATAGACTGTATTGCTACTCGCTACTCCGTAACGTTCTGCAACGTCATTATTTTTTCCTTTTCAATGAGGACTTCTGCTCAACGAAGAAATATGTTGCGTCGCAACTTGGATGTGAAGTGATATGACTACACTCAATTTCAACGTTTAAATTTACATTTATTTCGTTTAACAGTCATTTCATATAGAGATACATGTATAACACTATGTTTACATTATATACTTTATTGTTATTAAAGGGCTAAAGTTTTAAGTGCTCCGTTCATGTATGCTCGTCAAAACGATTTGATGTGTAGAAACTCGAGGTCTCTCGTTAATAATGTAAATTTAAAAAAAAAAAAATTTCGCAGCAAGCTCATGTTATGCATGGTTTTGTGATGTACTATTTGAAATTAGTGAAAATTTTCAGTAAAAAAAAAAAAAGAAAGTATTTTTAACGACTCCTGATAATAAGTTTTCTTACATCGAATTGTCAAAGTAGCAAAATTTTGAATTATACTATTTTCATTAAAAATTAATTTGGTTTTGCTCTTTTGCACATAAATCCATTGTGAAATTAAACATTTTCATAGCATTTTTAGCTATAAGTTATTTAAAATACCG